AAACGACCACGTATAGTCAGGCGTTTTTCACCGAAAAAAATGACCATGTATAGTAAGGCGGTTTTTTGCTGGAAAAAAAAACAACCATGTATAGTAAGGCGTTTTTAGCCGAAAAAAATCCGACGATGAATTGTAAGGCAATTTTTGCTGAAAAAAAAACGACCATTTATAGTAAGGCGTTTTTTGCTGAAAAAAAAACCGACCACGTATCGTAAGTGTTTTTTTTTGCCCCAAAAAACGACCATGTATAGTAAGGCGTTTTTAGCTGAAAAAAAAACAACCATTTATTGTAAGGCAATTTTTGCTGAAAAAAACCGACCATGTATAGTAAGGCGTTTTTAGCACAAAAAACACCATGTATAGTGAGGCGTTTTTTTGCTGAAAAAAAAACGACCATGTCGAAAGGTGTTTTTAGCCGAAATAAACCCGACCATGTATAGTAAGGCAATTTTTGCTGAAAATAAACGACCATGTATAGTAAGTGGGTTTTTAGCCATAAAAAATGCCCATGTATCGTAAGGCGTTTTTTTTTTTTGTTGAAAAAAAACGACCATGTATAGTCAGGCGTTTTTAGCCCCCCCAAAAAATAACCATGTATTGTAAGGTGTTTTTGGCTGGAAAAAAACGACCATGTATATATTCAGGCATTTTTTGCCCAAAAAAGAGGACCATGTATAGTAAGGCGTTTTAGCCGAAAAAAATGATAGGAAGTGTTTTTTTGCTGAAAAAAACCCGACCATGTATAGTAAGGTGTTTTTAGCACGAAAAAAACGACCACGTATAGTAAGACGTTTTTTTGCTGAAAAAAAAACGACCATGTATAGTAAGGCGTTTTTATCTGAAAAAACCGACCATTTATCGTACGCCGATTTTTGCTGAAAAAAAAACGACCATGTATAGTCAGGCGTTTTTTGCCCCAAAAAAACGACCATGTATAGTCAGGCGTTTTTAGCTGAAAAAACCGACCATTTATCGTACGCCTATTTTTGCTGAAAAAAAAACGACCACGTATCGTAAGGCGTTTTCTGCCCCAAAAAACAACCATGTATAGTAAGGCGTTTTTAGCTGAAAAAAACCGACCATTTATCGTACGCCGATTTTTGCTGAAAAAAAACGACCATGTATAGTAAGGCTAACATGTATAGTAAGGTAAAGTTTTTGAGATACACGAAGAAGGTCGGAGCTGGAATTGAACCCCAGACCTCTGCGGTGTGAAGCTGACGCACTAACCATTCGACTACCAGGTTGGTCTTTAAAATAAAAAAACCAAATACTTGAAATTGTATTTAGTTTTTTTTCTGTTTTTAATAAATGCGTTTTTTTATGTCTCGAATTTGTTAAAAAAATATATATATATATAAATATTTTTCACTAATGAAGGGTTTGGTGAATGTGCCTGAACTGGTTGGGTTCGGTGCCTCATACAAGGTTAAGAACCACTGACTCATGACCTACCTGATAGTTGAATGGTTAGTGTGTCAGCTTCACACCATAGAGGACCATGGGTCGATTCCAGCTCCGGCCTTCCTGATGTGATCTCATAAATATGCGTAGCCGTCCATTTTCTGATCCTCTTGTTCGCGCTCACACTCACACCAAGGAGCAATTCACAAAACGCCTTACTATACCTGGTCGGGTTTTTTTTTCGAAAAACGTATTAATATTCATGGTCATTTTTTTTTTTTAGTTAAAAAATGCCTGACAATACATGGTTATTTTTTCCGGCCAAAAACACCTGACGATACATGGTCTGTTTTTTTTTTTTTTTTAGCAAAAAATGGCCGTACTAATCATGGTCATTTTTTTTGGCTAAAAACGTCTTTCTATACATGGTCGTTTTTTTCGGCTAAAAATGCCTTACTATACATGGTCGTTTTTTTCGGCTGAAACGCCTTACTATCTATATGTGTTTGCTTTTGGAGGTTAAAAAACGCCTTACTACACGTGGTTGTTTTTTTCGGCTAAAAAGGCCTTACTATACATGGTCGTTTTTTTCGGCAAAAAAAAACCCTTACTATACATGGTTGTTTTTTCGGCTAAAAACACCTTACTAGACATGCTAATTTTTTCTTGTAAAAACGCCTTCTTCTACTTAAAAAATACTTAAAAAAAAAAAAAGCCTTCAGATTTATGGTCTCGTATTTTAGAAAAGACGGTCTTATATAGGGACAATGTCGAGGGTGCACAAAATGAACCAGCTAGTGATGGCCAAGCGGGTGCGTCATAACTGACATGTTGAGTCGGGTGTGCCTTACCCTCCATGGCAGTCTCTGTCGAACCCCTGAGACCGATTCGCTGTAGAGCAACGTAGAGCAAACTCTCTCTGGCCGATTTCATCATAATCCCGTTTGCCACGTAGTGGTTCAATCTTAACCCATTGCCTAACTAACCCAAATCAAACCGGTCAGTCTGACTTCAAATTTAATGCTAATGCTATGCAAATCTAACCACCCCATTAACCCTAACCAATAACCCCAACCACAAAGCTGAACCTTACCTCCGACCAGAATGTCGAAACCTAATTTAGTCTCCCTAGCCCCCACCACAATCTTAACCCAGACTCTTCACGCTGAATTTACCGTCACCCCAATCCCTATTTAAATTTAAGATTCCTTACAGCTAATGCTAACCATAGCCAAATCGACTCCAACCCAATTTAACGAAAACACTTTACCAAAAACCGATGCTTAAACGAACACGCAGCCCTCCCCTTCACCCAACCAAGCTCAACTCTTAACCCAATTAACCCCCTGACTCTGACCCTAACACTACGCCCCTAATCTCATCCAACACCAAACACTGAGGACCTGTTTTATTGAGATCCCAAAGGGATGGCTAAATTGCCTTCTCACTCACTCGATCGGACCGCACAGACTGTTGAACTTTTGTGTGCTGCTTCGCACCTGCCTTTCGGATGCACTACCTAAAGGTGCAGCATTAGCCGTCGCAATTTGTCTCAGGATTAACAGTTTTAACGCTCATCCACAAAGACAAAAACAAAACAAACAAAAAACCCAAAATGTGACATTAAATGCTGTCGTCACAACCAATCAACCAACTCGGATGAACATTTACCGTAACGTCCTTCAGGGAGGTCATAAGATGCTGTCAAAAACGACAAAACCTTTTCAGTGGAAGTAAGACTAAAAACTTATTTTTACCAGAAGAGGAGGTTGAAGTGTCACGGGTCAAGGCGTAGGTGTGTGCGATCAGGCGATGGTGACATCAGACTTCCAGTGGGTACGACGTAAGTCACGTACAGAGAGGAAGTATTGCTTCATGAGCTGAGGGGGTGTCGTTACAAACAGTGTGGCTGCTACTTGTGTGTGTGTGTGTGTGTGTGTGTGTGTGTGTGTGTGTGTGTGTGTGTGTGTGCCAGTTGCAACTTCCTGCCTGCACGTTGACCAACAAGAGGGCACTCTCAGTCCACCCATCCTGTCTTTTGCCTCACTTACTTCACAAACACGCCCTCCTGCTGCATGGAAAAACTGTAGTCCAAATAGGAAAGCGATTTTGACACATTTTTGCAATTTTTTTTTAAATCAAGAGAACCACATAAAGTTTTGTAGATGTTTTTTTTTTTTGTGCACCTGATTCTGCCCTAGTTTTTTCTTCGGAGCATCAGTTTTTCATAATAGTAATCGTAATAATAATAATAATATGTCACAGTGCAATATATTTAGTAATATTATTGAAGTAAGGGTTAGCTTGAGCAAAAGGTAGAATTTTTTTTATGACATGTCATCGCTACAAATTACAAGGCATGGTAAAATCCATATTGTGCGCTTCAAAACAATAAAATGAAAATATGACAAAAACAGATGTGCAGGAAAAAAAAGTAAAGATGGTTTTTAAATCAGTGTCAAAAATACTTTCGGGGACACATCAGGCCATTTCTGATTACTTTTGCCGTGAACAATTGTAATCTAATCGCAATTTTTTTTTCTTCAAATTGTGATATTTTGACTTAATATGCAATTATTTTTTCAAGGTCCTCTTGCCAAGTATTTTTTGAACAAACAAAAGCAAGAACTTATTTACAAGAAAAATATCATGTATTAGACGTGATTTTTGGGATTTATAGGTTATGCTTATGTTAAAATGAAGGCAAAAGAAGCATGAATTAATATGAAAAACAGTTTATTTGTTTATCTGTACACGCTCGCAAAACTCAAGCAAATGATGGGGCGTAAACATGTCAGTCACTTGAGCACTTTAGCACAACTTTGACTATTTAAATATGTTTCATCTTCCAATAATGTGTACAACAACAACATTCAATCATGTGGACAGCACTTCTTAAGCACTGAACTTATCGAGACACGATCTAAATTAAAAAATAAATAAATAAAATGAACACACACACACACACACACACACACACACACACACACACACACGCGCGCGCACACTACATCGCAATGTCACTGTCAGCTATTGTCGCCCGCTTACATTTGACAACAAATTTCAAAGCTCATCTGAGAAGGCCTCTTTCTAGTAACCAGGTGCATTCAGAAGCCCACACGTTGACAAACAGACTTCTTTTTAAGAACATCATCAATTAGTCACAAGCAGATACTGGAAGTGAGAAGGGAGGCGTGCTTTAAGAAAACCAAAACAAACTCTTTACTGGATGTCTTTGCACATCACTTGTGATTTTATTATGGGAATACCTATCCAGTGGTTGGAATAAAAAAATATATATATAAATAGCATACAGTATGTTTGACAAAACAATAACAACTTAACTCAACTCAACTGTATTTATAGAGCACTTTAAAACAACTACCGCTATATACAAAGTGCTGTACATGGAGCAAAAACAATTCCTACAACAACAAACAATGAAACAATAAATTAATAACAAAGACAATAGAAGGCACAAAAACGGTGAAACAAAAAAAATTAAGTCTTATAAAGCCAAAGAATAAAAATGAGCAGCGAGGTGGCTGGCCAAACATTCAGTGGGAGGTCATTCCAAAGAGAGGGACCAGCAACGGAAAAGGCTCGGTCGGTCCCCTTTGAGCCTCCTCTTACTTCTTGGTACCTCTAATCATGTCTGGTCCGCAGACCTGAGGCAGGTGTGCAGGGGCAGAGGAGCTCGGAGAGGTCAGGTGTTGCGAGGCCATTTAAAGATCTGAAAACAAACAACAGGACCTTAAAAAGAAGGGAGCCAGTGAAGGGATGCCAGAGTAGGCGTTATATGCTCCCTCTTACGAGTACCAGTCAAGAGGCGAGCAGCAGCATTCTGGACCAACTGGAGACACCTAATGGAGGATTGGCTGACGACAAAGTAAAGTGCATTACAGTAATACAGCCGGGATGTGACGAAGACATGAATTACTGTTTCAAAGTGCTCATGAGAAAGGAGAGGTTTTACTTTAGCCAGCTGCCTAAGATGAAAGAAGCCGGATTTAACAACGGCACCCATTTGCCGGTCCAATTTAAAATCACTGTCCAGTTTAAGACCCAAATTTGAGACTGTTGGCTTAAGATAAGGAGCCAAGGGGCCCAAGTCCGCAGGTTACGATGTGCAGGACCCACTGGGACCAAACACGATTATTTCTGTCTTCTTTTCATTTAAATTTAAGAAATTTTGTGCCATCCAGGTTTTGATTTCCTCCAGGCAGGATAGAAGCGGCCTCAATGAGAAAGCGTCTTTTTTGCTCAGCGGGACATAGATCTGCTCGTCATCCGCATAGCAGTGGAAGGAAATACCATGTTTCCTTCAGATGGAACCCAAAAGGAGCAGATACAGTGAGAACAATGGACTCAAGACTCATTATGATGTCATACAACTTATATAATTCAATTGAAATTGTTCATTTTACGTCTCATCGACTTTTTGTTTGTTTTGTTTTTTTTCAAGAAAACTGCTCTCAAAAAACATTATGAAAATGTAATTTCATGTGAATAAAGTTGGAATCTCACAAACGAGTAATATTTTATGGCAAATAAGTTGCAATATGAGATAAAACACAATTTAATGTGAATGAGGTTGCAATATTGACATAGTTTTGTAATTTTTGTACTGTTTCAGAGTATGACAAAATAAATATTTTGCTTAAAGTTGTAATCTGCACAAAAATATCATTTCAAATTGCGTGCGTATGTGTGTGTGCGCGTGCGTCAAGTTTGTGGAAGTTTAACTCGATGAGCAAGACTTAATGCGAAAATGTGTGAGTCACAACGCGTGAAGGTGGAACTGAAGCAATTGTTACTGGAACAACAAAACTCAAATAAAGCAAAAATACTTTTTGAAGATGCCTGACAGAAACGTAATGGAGAGGGAAAAGGGAGGTGTTCTTTTTCTGGGTTGCGTTTGATACGCGTTCCCGTCATTGTCACCACTGCAGCTGTTTGTGGTTGCGCGAGTTAAAAAAAATAAAATAAATAAATAAATAGAAATGACATAGTGTATATGGAACAATGCAATTTTGAATTCAGAGCTGACTTGCAGCCAGTCACAGGAAGGTGTCATGCACACTTCAAGTGATCAAACCATTCCAATATACAAACACACACACACACACACACACACACACACACACACACACACACACACGGAAATGGCTAAATTAGTGCAACAATCATAACAGGACTACAGTCCAATATTTTGCCCACTCCTGCCTAAGACGACATTCAGACTGCAGGGCGTGATGCCCAATTTGGATTTTTTTGTTAAATCTCATTCAATCTTTTTACATACTCATTCCCGTCACAATTAAAAAAACAAATGCGATTTCTAATGTGAACACATCGCCTCCGTAATGTGACACTCATGCTCACAAAGCACAACGTTGAGTGACGTACCCCAAAAAAACTCACGTGGCACAATGTTTACAGAACTTAATATGATCTCGTGTGTAGGGGCTCATCTGATTATCATCTGATATCACCAAAGGAGGAAAGTGGGAGGAGGTAGAAATATTTTGGGGCTATGAGGCAACGCTCCTTGATCTTGTCATTTCATGTCAACGTCTACTAAAGATGATGTCACCTCATTGCTGCGCAAAATAAATGAAGCATCTGTCTGTCTGAATTATCACCACAAATGTCGACGTTATGCTTCATGTTTCAAGCGGGATTCAATTAAAGTCAAATGTTAAGACAACAATTGTTCCTCAAAACAACTTTGCACATTCACATATGATGTCTACTGGGATTTTGATGACTTACGTGTCAGATGTGTGCGCGTGAGCGTTCATACCGCAGACGCACCACATTCATATCCAATTTATATCCACAAACAAAAGAGGCCCAAGTCGGATGGATTTGAAAAAAAATCTGTTGTGACTGTGACAGAGTTTTGTTCTTTGTTCCCTTGATCTTGTTTGTTGCTTTGTCCTTTATTCGGTCACACAGGGCTGGGGTTGTTTTTCGATGTATAAGCTTGAGTTACTCACTTACACGTTGTCAGAATGTTAACCCTTCTATGTCCCGATCTCTGTTTTTTACTTTGAATATTTGCACATAAAGACTTTCACTTTGCCACTTTTGTCTCCTGCCTGCTTCTGGGTCCATATTCTGCTCCTCTCGTGACAAAATCGGAATTGTACTTGTTCACACTACATGAAAAAAATGTTACGTGTCACATATGGACACAAAAAAAAATAAAAAATCGGAATTGAACTGCAGTGTGAACAAAGCCTTAGACGTGCAAGTATTGAACTTCAATGTGATGTCTCAAATGATTACATTTTTTGAAACCAATAGTTTTCTACCCATTCCAGACCCGAGCCTCCATTTTGGAAAAGCAGACTCACTGCACATAAGCGACTAAGCACTTGTGGATTTTTCATAATACTTATACGAATGATCATTTTGTAATCATGTGAAGATTAGGAGCCCATTAGCCTCAGTGGATGCTCTGCTGTTTGGATGGAGTATAAACACAAAGACAGAGCTGGTCCTGTATGTCCTCCCTTTGATAACTCACACCCAGACCTCAAAAGCACCGCTGTGTGTGTGTGTGTGCGTGTGTGTGTGTGTGCGCGCGCGTGTGTGTGTGCCCTCCACTGGCATCATGTCATCCATTTCCTGTACCAGCTGCAAAGTCTCCCCCTTCTTGCACTCCTCTGGCGTTCCCACGATCTTACTGTGAAGTGTTTTTGTGCTGAGTCACAAGCGCGATGCCCCCATCTGCTGTGAATATTCAAACTGCTATCAAGAGAACGCAATGAAGTGGAAAACAAGCAACATTTGGGCAAACTGTACAGATGTGCGGTGCTAAGGGAAACGCTGAATATTGTAAAACGATGCAGGACTAAAATCCCCCGACTCCTGAAAAACTCTGTCGTGATTTAAGGGATTTTTTTGTGACGAATTTTAGCACCAGTTGTAACGTCCCCAAATTGAGGGCGACGAGGTGACTGACAAATCAGACGGGCTACGTCAGTGAAGTAAGGAGGCTGCTGTCCGTCGACAGACTAAGCTAATGTTGCTAACATCGATTAGCGCGCAACATATTTATATTGTTTATGATCTCCAGAAGAGCCAGCGAGACCGTCCGAATTGCACAGCGGTGTCATACGTCATTTTGTGCACACAGGTCAGAAAATAAAAGCACTCTGAGACCCAAATTGAGTCCAATTGAGTAATAGCAGAAACCAAGGAGTTCACGTCATGGTTGCCCTCTTATTGGAGGTAATGGTGGTACTTGGATGGTCAATTTTTTTTTTTTTTAGGTTAGACTAGGTCAGTGGTTCTTAACCTGGGTTTGGTCGTTGAATCAGTCTCAGGGGTTCGACAGTGCCTCTGCCATGGAGGTTAAGACCACCAGACTCAACATGTCAATAACCGGGAGTTATGACACGCCCGCTTGGCCATCACTGGCTGGTTCATTTTGTGCACAATTAAAAAAACTTTCCTTTATACTTCTACTAATTGTGTTTAGTTTTTTCCGTTTTTAATAAATGCGTTTGTAAACAAATCCTGTTTTTATTTTTTCACCAACGAAGGGTTCGGTGAATCTAACAAAGCTAAGAACCACTGCACTCGGTGTATAAAGTTTGAGTACCACTGCCTTAAAATATTGTGCAGTCAATGATGGTGTCATGATTTCCTTAATATCCAGTCCAGCTCGCACACGGTCAAGAGTGAGCATTTCGACCTCCTCTGCCCCAGTTTATTGGCAGCGGCCCAACTTTCCGTGCAGAAAGTCACGTCGTAAGGGGAGCGAGAGCGACCGTGATTCGGAGGCGAGGGTGGGGGGCGTGATTAGGAAGGAGGAGGCTTGGGGGGGGGGCACAAGGAGGAGGATACGGGAAGTGGGGACAGATGAAGAGCCAGGAGACAATGTGATGCACAGGGGTGCTGAACCACCGTGGGAGGAGGATGAGTGGGAAAGGAGGAAAAAAAAAAGCAGCGGAGCCCTGATGGAACTGGAGGAGGGAGGAAGAGTGTGGTGTGGGGAGGGTGCGGGGGCAACGGAGCGACAGGGTGTGTGCATCTGGCACAAGGAGGCAGGAGAAAGATAGCATGGGCCAGGCTGGCCGGACGCGAGTGTTTGTGTTTGATTGAAGGGGGATGTGAGACGAAGACCCCTTGCTGGCTCACTGTTACTGGAATGTTGCCACATGAAAGATGGTCATGCACACACACTCACACAAACGCACACATTTGCGCACAAATTTGTGCAGTGAGAGCGGAACACCGACAGAAAGGAAGCGGCTGGTTAGGAAAAGATGCTGGGGGCGAGAGTTGAGCAGAAGGGAATCTTTATCTGGGAGCTGTCTGCTGATGTGGTCATTAAAAACTGTTTAGAAATATCTATAATCTACTACGACCACGACTTTTGGAAGTATTCCTCCAATACATTTCCAAACATGGATGTTTAAAATATCACACGCTGTTAAAAATGCTGAGTTAAAAGTAACCCAGCACCAGTTCTTTCGTTTTTCACCATCGAAACTGGCTCTTGCTCTGTTGCTTGAAACTGGTGCTTAAGATGTCCCCAATTATTTGTTGGGCCAGACTCTGGCACCAACTACGTCAGGGGCCAGGGGGGGCGGGATTATCGTGATGATTGCAGATGTAGAAGAATGACTCACCTGGACACACGGAGGTTTTGCACAAACTGTTAAGCGGTGAACTCCGGGACAATTGTGTTCCACCAGAAGAGCGATCGCGGATGCCAACTCCGACTCGCAGCAAGCTTCGTGATCATCTACAACGATTAAGAAAGATAGAAGCGTTTACTGATTGCATGTTCATGACTGTTATATACGACATACAGGTGTAATCGATGCTATGCTAAGTGTCGTAGCAGATGCTAACAGCGCATTATTATTATTATTATTCATTCATTCATTCATTTTCCGAACCGCTTTATCCTCACTAGGGTCGCGGGGGATGCTGGAGCCTATCTCAGCTGTCTTCAGGCAGGAGGCGGGGGACCCCCTGAACCGGTTGCCAGCCAATCGCAGAGCACACAGAGACGAACAACCATCCGTGCTCACACTCACACCTAGGGACAATTTTGAGTGTTCAATCAGCCTGCCATACATGTTTTTGGAATGTGGGAGGAAACCGGAGTACCCGGAGAAAACCCACGCAGGCCCGGGGAGAACATGCAAACTCCACACAGGGAAACCGGAGCTGGAATTGAACCCGGTACCTCTCTGCACTTGTGAGGTCGATGCGCTAACCACTGGACTACCGGGCCGCAATTATTATTATAATAATTTTTTTTTTTATGATTATGTTATTAATAGCGGAGGCGCTCTTTATGATGATGTAATGACTTAGCCCCTACTTGGCTCTTTGTCGGTGGAAAACCAAACGCGTTCTTCGTGAGAACTTGTTAAGCACCAACTAAGCATAGCACTGGTCCTGGCGCGGAAGAAACACCAATTTATTTTTTGGAAGGGTGGAAAAGGGGTATCTGAAACTTTGGGAAGAGGGGCTTCCAGACACAATGCAGAAAAATATCATTCCTGATTCTGAAAATAATGTCCATGACAAACCAAAAATAAATGTTCTGAGAAAACCCCCGCATTGAGATGAGGACAGCTACTTAATCAAAACAACTCTTTGTCAAGCACTTGCACCCTGATGACAACGTATCTATTTTAGGGGTCTCAATCAAGACACCCTCACTCATTAGTGCCGCCTGGAAAGGGTAGAAAAAACCCCCCACAGCCAGAGACAGCAGTTCTAGCACGACCACACTGCAGTGTTGTTGTTTTGATTCCATACAGTGCCTTGAATGTGTGTTGTGTGCTAAGGAGGAAGTAAAGGCAAAAGAGGAGGAACTATTGAGCTGCCGTGACGCTTCCTCACAAATGACGGCGATAACCGCCGTCTTGTTTTTGAAAGAGGTGACACGAGTGTCAAGGCCGCCCGCAGCGATTGGCCAAAACAGGAAGAACTTCGGCTCACCCTGTCAGCGCTTGTTTGTGCGCTACCGTAGACCAGCGTGCCCGCCGGGGCAAGAGGGCAGACGGACAGATAGGCACGACGCCTCTGGGGGATTCGGATCGCAGCTGAAAGGAGACATGCAGCATTCTGCGTATTTCGGTTACGTGCTTTTCAAGGACACTTTTCATTTGTAATCCTTTCGTCTCGTTCAAATCAGTTTGACTGGGCGATCTCTGCTCCTGCAAGTGAGCCGGCGTTGTCTTGGCCCATGTACTTCTGCGTTGACACACTCTCAAAACTGCTGTGTTAAAAGTAGTAACGCAGCGATAGGTCCAAAGGGGACCAAGCCAATATTGTTATATATTTTTTTTTTACCCAGTCCAATGGGTCAAGTTTTTAATCTAACAAGAGGTCAAATTTACTCAGCGAAGCTACCATACCAACAAGGAGAACTTCCCCCAGTCAACTGTCACCACGAGTCAACTCGCATGATATGCTTGGCACTGGTTTTACTCCGGATGCCATTCCTGACACAACCTACCCACGATGATCAAGATTTGGGACCAATGGTTTCAAATCAGCATGTCACATTCAGGGTCTTGCCGAAGGACCAAACTGGATTTTACCCATTTACCTTGACTGGGATTTGAACCCCAGTCCAAATGTCCAAAATAGTCACCAGCTTTCAGCTCTTCAGCCCACCCAAATCCAATCTCAACGCAATCTGCCAGGTCAAAAAAAGTTAAGACAACCTCAGGTAAAAGTAAGTCCATCTGCTCAAAATTCAGAGTGACCCATCAAGCAGGTTAGGAAAACCCACCAGGTTTTATTTATTTATTTATTTTTGTGTACATGCAGAAAAGTTTTGACCTGGGAGTGTTCTCATTTTGTGTTGGATTGTTTGTCCTGTTCAACAAATATATGAAAGGACGTCAGCCATTTCGGCTCGCCTTCCCACTTCAGTCAAGTGGCGCCACATCGGAAGTTACACATTTCTTCTTGCCCACCAAATAAGTAAAGGTGCCCCCACATCCCCAAACAACATAAAATTTGGGGCACTCAGAAGTCATGACTCCACTGTACCCGTCACCACATCGCTACGACAATTGTGTGGTACCTATCATCTGTGCACCCAACAAAACTCAATGCAGATCTGCTTACCTTTTGACTTTACAATGATAATCGGGAAGTTGCGCAGGTAGAGGATGCAGGCATTTGTACATGACAGTGTGCCTTCATGATACGTTTACAGAGGGCATCCCAATGCGATCAGACATCGCTCATCACTTGAAAGTAGCTCTGAATCTTCACCCACCCGAACTATTCATGACAGTAATAATGTAAATAAGCTATTCTGTTCTGTAACAATTTGACATAATTTACCATCCATTGCTTCCCCATTAAAAAAAAAAATCAGCATTACATAATATGTCCTATTGAAGGTCACAGCCAGGGCTCATAATGTCAGTCAAGGCTGTCTATCGGAGAATTTCTTTGCCAACACTCCCGCCCCAAGGCCCCCCCTCGGGGTCACTTCCCGTGTCGCTATCGCCATACAAACGACGTGACAGTGATTACAAGCGCCCTGAAACAGATGTGTGTGTGTGTGTGTGTGTGTGTGTGTGTGTGTAAGATGGAGGAGGGACCTACGGGGTCCATTGTTTCAGAATAGAACTGTCGGGAGGAGGAGGGGGAGTGAGGGGAAAGGATAAATTTAGCACCTCCGTTCAAGTATTTCAAATATTCTTACGAGTTCATGTACGCTTCTTTGCTACTTCATACACAAGAATGATGTCATGGTGCCAGCAAAGCACATTTACTGTCCAGTCGACGGTACATAGTTGACTACATGCCTGCCACACGTTGACGTGTAGAGCAGCACACACGGGGTTCAATCTACATGTGCATTTCGTGTTTTAGGTCACTTTATGCCGACTGTACAGCTGTGACCCACCGTCATTGACACACACACACACACACACACACACACACACACACACCCACACACACACACACACACACACACACGCTCGTTGAACACTGCGCAGCACTTCCTGTCAGACATCAACAGCCGCTCAGCAGAGTGTGATCTCTCTCTTCTACATCCCTGATGTACAACACAGCTTCGGGGACAGCTAAATTACTCGGCCACAGCCCCCCCCACCCCCAACTCTCCCTCATTCCTACCCTGACTCTCTTGATCTTGATCTGCTTTACTGGCCCCTGGTGGGCTTCTGTGCCCCCCCGTCAGTCACCTTTAGTGGTCCCGTGGTGGGTTTCAATGATTTTCAATCGCTGTCAGCTTTCGGGGCTCTCATCTGAAGTTTATTCATTCAATGTACATTTAAATCATTTGGCTATTGGAGTGAAGGGTACAGCATACATGGGGCCCTCGAACAGCAATAACTTTTACTAGGTTATAAACATACCCTTAGCGGCCCTCACTGAACTTAGAAAAGTGTCTCCTGGGGACACTTGTGCTCAGTCAGAGATTCACTAGTCTCCTGTTGTGTTGATTGTCGAGTAGTAGACATGAGTGCTTTGTTGGGCCCCTACTAGGGCCCTGGTTGACTTGAGTAGCGCGAGTAGCCCAATGTTGGAATTATCAGCTCCAAGATTGGCCCCAGTAAGTTCTTCAGTGAGATTTGTTCTCCCCTGCTGGAGCTCCCCGAGCCTCCGTGTGAGCCCCTCGATAGCTTCAATAGATCGATAGATCCAATGTTGGTTTTGGTGGCTCCTAGATTTGGGCTCCAACAGACTTTAGGGCCCCTCGTGAACCTCAATTGGCCCCAGAAAGTTTGCCCGGTCAGATTTGGTCTCCCCTGCTCGGGTTCCCTGAGGCCCCATGTGAGCTATCCCAGACCCCGGTGAGCAATGATGATCCCATGTTGGTGTGCCTGGCTCATAGATTGGGCTCTAAACAAACTTTAAGGGTCCCTAATAGGCCTCGATTAGACCCAGGAAGTTCCCCAGTGGGATTTGATCGACCCTTGCTTGCGTTCCCTGAGCCCCCATGTGAGCTTTGCGAACCCCTGGTGAGCATCAATGGTCCCATGGTGGTATTCCTGGCATCAAGATTGGGCACCTACAAACTTTCGGGCCCCTAGTGAGCCTTGATTGGCCCCAGGAAGTTCCCTCGTGAGATTTAATTTATCTCTGTTGAGTTTAGCCCAATCCCAAGTGTCGTCTTCGGGCCCCTCAGGAGGTATCATTGGTCATCAGTGAACCGAAGTGACCGGCTTGGGTTCCACAAGCTCCACTCGAGGGACGTTGCGTGTTATTTCCACACTCGTTGGTCATAAACCTATTCATAAAAAAAGATTATAGCAGTTCCAAAATGCAATCTACACATGCGAGTTATTTACGACGTCCATTGAAAATAACAGTAACAGGGCAGGTTTGAAAGATTCACACCTACATACACACACTTTCTCACCCATAAGCGATAAATACAAATCTTTTTAGATATGTTGCTGTATAAAAGTTAACTCAATAATCGCTTGGCCCCCTCTGCTTGACTTCTTCCCCTCCGTGTGTGCTATGTGTATGTGGTATGTGTGTCCATCCATCTGGTTTACCTATCAGCGCTACAGTTTCGCCCGTGCGACCTCTCGAGGGGCTGTGACGTGCTTCCAGCCATTGCTTCACTTGCAGGAGGCTGATGTCACTCAGGGGTTGAGGCGTCTGGGTCAGGGGATGCGGGGCTGCAAATAGATTAGGTTAGCTTTTCAAATCAGCCATTTTTTTTTTTTGAGTCGGGGGGGAATAAATGAACCTTGTGGCCCCCGGGCTTCCTCGCGTGGTCTTATTGAAGTCGGAGAAACTGTGGTGGCGTGTTTACAGTTGCTTCTTATTAACACTGGTGTTAAACAGCACGGGGGCGCCGTCCTGCAAGGAGGTATAAAAACTAAACTGGGCCTGATGGCACTAGAAAGATCGACATCCATCTCCCTATTTGAAAGGGGGATGTGGTGAAGAATAACTTTGAGAGAGGTCATTAACACTTATTGCTTTTATAGGGCAGATCGTTAAAAAAGGAGGAATGAGACATTTGAGGTGTTTATCACGTAGAGTGGAAGCACTGGAATGGTACATGTTACGACCCCTCCACCTGATGGCAACTCGGGAAGGGTCTAACAAGTTGGGAGTTGGGGAGGAACAAAAAGTGATTCGCTTCCATGGTTTGGGCTTTCGAAGACAAGCGACTACGAACACGGGTGGGGGACAAGCGAATAACATGGGGGGCGGGGGAGGGGGGCAAGATTGGAATAAACACTCCTGAATTCCCGTTGCCTTCGTGCAGCCCGAATAAATACTGGAAATCCATCCATCCATTTTCTGAACTGCTCTATCCTCACAAGGGGCATGCTGGAGCCTATCCCAGCTGTCTTGGGCAGAAGCCGGGGGACACCCTGAACTGGTCGTCAGCCAATCGCAGGGGGACACAGACAAAAAAAAATCATCCGCACTCACACACACCTCGAGGGACAATTTAGAGTGTTCCATTAACCTGCCATGCCTGTTTTTGAAGTGTGGGAGGAAATCGGAGTACCCGGATAAAACCCACGCAGGCACGGTGAGAACATGCAAACTCCACATAGGAAGGCCGGAGCCGGGGTCGAACCAAAGTCCTCTGCACTGTGAGGTCGACGCGCTAACCACTCGTTCACCGGGCCGCCAGTACTGGAAATAAATGAACCAAAACAAACTATGGCGAAGTTCCCAAACACACGAATAGTGGACATGAATGAACTGGATAGTTGATGGTTATGGCGAGGAACTAATTTGACTGCACTAATCGAGAGGCAGTGGTACCGAGGACGCTGGAAGGATTGGAGCTGACAAACACAACAAGAGACTCCGACACAACACGGGTGTTCTGGAACATAGTCCTCACAGTGGAGGGGAATTTACTGTACAATTCAGTTGTATTTAACTTTGAAGTTCAGTGGACGCTTGATATTCATTCGTTGGAGATAGGGAATGGGGCGGCAAACAGTATAATTGCAAAAAATATATGATTCATGAATAATATTGAATATTAATTGACGCACATTGAAATGCACTGGGAGGAAAAAAAAAGTTTAAGAATATAAAATAAAGCCCCCAAATATTTTTTTAAATGCAGAAAATCCTCCAATATGTGTTTTCCATGCCTGCACACAAAGAAAAAAAAAATCAGCCAAATTTGTGAATCTGCAGACCCATTATACAATATGTTTGGATTTAATCATTTAGAAATATTTGTTTTTTACTGGTATTTTGGTAGCTACGATTTTCACTGTAACTTTTATGTGCAATACATTTTAAATTATTTTATTTATTTTTTTACATTCAAGCGCATTGCTCAAACTCTGCTCTAATAATATTGAATATTAATTGATGCACTTTGAAATGCACTGGGAGGAAAAAAAAAGTAAAAAAATAAAATAAAATAAAGCCCCCAAATAATTTTTTTAAATGCAGAAAATCCTCCAATATGCGTTTTACATGCCTGCGCACAAAGAAAAAAAAATTGGAAAAAAAAATCAGCAAAATTGGTGAATCCGCGGGCCCATTATACAATATGTTTGGATTTAATCATTGAGAAATATTTGTTTTTGAACATTTACTGGTATTTTGGTAGCTACAATTTTCACTGTAACATTTATGTGCAATACATTTTAAATTATTTTTTTTTTTTTTTTTACATTCAAGCGCATTGCTCAAACTCTGCTCGATTGTGGCTTACAATAACATGAAACATACTTTTTGGGAAGACATCGTCTGTCTCATTTTTGGCACGTAGGCCTTCTGTGATACTGACTGTGTTCTAATGGTGGACATGATGATGGTACCTGGAGAACTAAGTATTTTCTTTCGGGTGAAGAATAACTTCTTTAGATGCCCACTTAGCTGAAGCCCGACAATATTTCCCGACATCACGCACGCTGATGGTTTGAACTCCAAATTGTTCCATTTTGGAGGTTCCACTGAATGTATCCACATTGCGTAAAGGCTCGAACCATGTGTCTTATTGCACACAATTGTTGCTCATCGTGACCCATTCATCCGCACCACAACCGCCATGACGATGCCCTGCACTTTCACAACACAAACAAGGAGTTGCCCTGAAAGTTCAGCATTGCACAAGCATGTGTGAGTGTGCGGTGGTGCATTTACATGTGTGTAATGAGAACCAAATGGCGGGGTGTGTGACCGCATGGTTTCGCTCCCCTATCTCTAATCAGACAGGCCCCTGGGAGAATGGTGCGAGCGTGGGCCCTGCACATAAATCAAGCCTGCTGCCCACGTAGTGCAAACGCATGTTCTGGCCTTTTTTTTTTCCCCCTTTCTTTTTTTTAAGAGGGCCATTTTGCGCTCGTGTCATGATTAAAAGTGTGAAAAGCGCTGTGAAGCTGGTGAAACATTGAATTATCCCCTGCTGATTCTCGAGGGAGTTGCGAAGGGAGGGGGGAGTCTGGGTAGGTGGTCTCTAATGAGAAGGCCAGGTATGGGAATGAGTCTCACTCGCCTCAACTTGGCGTTTAACAATTGACATTGTCAATTTGTTGCCATTCTGTCCACTCCTCCTCTCCTCTTCTTCCCCTCGTCTTTCCTCAGGGGGTGGCCTAGCCCCGTCCTCCAGCGTTCCTTCGCCTCCCTGTTGCCTCCGCGTCCACATCTGGCCAGGCAGCTGCGGCTGGCCGGGGTTCAGTGGGGTGCGGAGGGGTGGGGGGGGGAAGGAGGAGGAGGCGGCGGCTATCAATTGCAAAGCCCAGGGCACGGATGAAAAAAAATGACGCAAAACGGGAACTGCTAAAAAGTTTGAAGCGGTGGGGAGGGAAGGTGCATGAGAGGGCAAGCATTTCACAAGCTGATTTCCACATCTTAACTTCATGGTGGCCCAACAGTCGATATACCTGCGCGATTACAATGAACTTAATGAAGATGTAAAGACAATACTATATAAGAAGGAAGGAAAGGAGGAGTGAAGGAAGGAAGGAATAATCGATGATGGTCAAAAGGATGGGAGGAAACAAGGATGGAAAATAACAGACAGTATAAAAGAAAGGAAGGATGAGAGTAAAAAACAAAGGGAAGAAGGCTGGAAATAAAAGAGGGAGGAAAAGATAGTATAAAAGGAAGGAAGCAAGGAAGGAAGCCAGGAAGGAAGGAAGGAAGGAAGGAAGGACGGATTAAAACACGGATGAAAAGAAGGAAGGCATAGGAAGGAAAGAGAAAGGATGGAAGGAAGAAAAGATAGATGAAGAAAATAAGGGATGGAGAAAGGAAGGATAGAAGGGAAGGAAGGAAATAAGGATGGCATAAAAGGAAGGAAGGATCAAATGAATGAGAAAAGACGAATAGGAGGAAGGCAAGAGGGAAGAAGGAAGGAAAGAAGTTGGCAAGGAAACGAGTAGGTATGACAGACAGGAAGAAAAGAAACAGCATGTGTGAAAGGAACAAACAAAGGAAGGAAGGATGGTAGAAAGAAGGGAGGGAAAAAGGAGGAATGGCTGCAAGGAAGGAAACCAAGACAGTATGAAAGGAAGGGAGGGGAAAGTGCAAGATCAAGAAAGAATGAGAGTGAAAGGGCTGAAGGAACGGGCTGAAGAAGAAAGGACACAAGGCATAGAAGGAAGTAAACAAGGATGCATGAAAGGAAGGATGGATGGAAGGAAGGAAACAAAAAAATAATGGAAGGATGTGATGTGTGGTCAGGATTGACAAGTAAGGCAACTTTAAATCCAAGAGAGCACCTGCCTCCAAAGTCTTCAAATGTGTCGCGACTTTTTGCCCCACCGTGTACCTTCATTCATCTTGAACCGGCAAGGAAGGAGAGGAAAAAGGCTCCAGGGCCACTTATCATATTTGCATTGTTGAATTCTCTTTCTGATTGTGTGTTTCTTCAAATCCACCGGCCAAAGAATCCATATGCCGCGGTGGCCACATGCGCTCACAGCTGCTAAACACTCACAGATGGCATGACACACTCGCAATACACGCGTGCAGATGTCCGCCTTTTGTAGGTACGCGACAAGCCAAATGTCCCGCGGATGATTTAGCACTCCATACGTGCGTCATTGTTTTCCACATTCCAGGATGTGGATCTCTTGTGCCAGCTCCTTCAGTCCCCCAAGCTGCAGTGCCAGGGTCACATCCCCCTCCTTTGCGGGTTCATGTTGGGACAACTGAGCTACACTTTGGGAAATGCCAAAACATGAATGAACCTGACTTAACGGTTGACTTGTTGAGGGTTGCAAGTACTGTGAACCAAACAAAAAACAAAGATGATTTCACATGTTGTACTTCAAACGACCACAGCTATTTAGCTTTGTGATTAAAAACAAAGCGAAACACCATAGATGGGCTAACGAAGAACATACATGTTGCAGTTTTTGCTCAGCTGTGTCAAAAAGGTCAGTGGGCTGCAAATGCATCCATCCATTTTCCGATCCGCTTCTATCCTCACAAGGTTCGCGGGGTGTGCCCAAGCCGATTCCAGCTGTCTTCAGGCAGTAGGCGGGGAACACCCTGAACTGATTGCCAGCCAATCATAGGGCTCACATTGACAAACAACCATCCGCGCTCATACTCACATCTAGGGACAATCTAGAATGTTCCATTAACCTGCCACGCATGTTTTTGGAATGTGGGAGGAAACCAGAGTACCCGGAGAAAACCCACACAGGCACGACGAGAACGTGCAAACTCCACACAG